AGAAAAAGATTAAGCAGTTAAATGTGGAATTCATTGCAGATATGGTTGAAGTCCAAAGTCCTGCAACTACTACATTGTCACACATCGTTGTTGTCTCCTTCTTCGAGGTTAACTTTAGCCCAATATAGACGAACACTGGGATGGATAGCGCCACATAGCAAGCGACTGCCAGCAAACAACTCGATATATTTTTCAAAGAAAACGTCTTTTTCATCTCGGGCGATATTCCGTTGTTTCTACGACATTTTCTGACAATTGTGAACAATTTATAGTTGATAAATAGCATTGGAGGAAATAGAATAATGAAAAAAATTAGTTCGGAAATTTGGCCTGAAAAAACACAATTGTTTATAGACATCACTCTCAAAGTAAGCAGGACAATAATCAATATTGCAAGAAGAGTTAAAAGTTTTCCCTTCGTTACCGATGTTCGATGAAAGATAGGATAAGATGTCGCCAAATATCGATCAAAATTCATCACCAAAAGAGCAAGTAAAGTAAAACCAACGAAAATAGTTGCTGATTGTAAGGCCGTGTACATGACCCAAATAAGGTATTCATTCAACTTTGCAGTCAAGCATAACATTGCGGCAAGAGCCGTCAGTGGATGACTAGTTAAAACGACAAGCAAATCGCAACAAGACAAAGCCATTATCATGAAATAACATAATTTTTTTCGAAGTTGCACAGACCTCCGGAAACTGAGTATGACCAAGGAATTTAAACATATTCCTGAGAAAAAGAACAATACGTTCAAAGCAAATATAAATATCAGGTTGATGAAATGAAAGAACTCCATCGTGCGACTTCGTAATTGGCCTCCTCAGCAGATGCTTAGAATGATATGCTTAGAATGACAATCCTGAAGCACAAACATAATCATATAAATAATTCATAACAATGTCAATGAGAACACTTTCATAAATATGCGTTGAAGAATTATGTTAAAGTGGCTACCCCACTGTGAACTCTAAAACGACTGGAACGAAGTGGAAAAGATATGGAGTGGAAAATACGCGGCCTAAAAGACATCTGTTTTCGAGCACTAAATAGCTGTATTTCAACAAGGAAAAAATTGCTTAAAGTCCTAAATGTAAAGTCCTAATCCTATAATTAGTCTTGATCGAGGCCGAGGGACAGAGGACTCGATGATGAATCGAAATTTCCATGTACAAAACGCTTCGATCTACAATTAGTTGTGTCGAGTGTAGATGCCTAAATATTACCCATGCATGCATACACCTCAAGTCTTAGCAGGCATATCTGATATATGGTGAATTACTAAATACGATAAATTGCGCCAATAATGTTTTAGTTGAAACTAAACAAACAAAACAAATTTAATTCAAACAGACCATATGAGTCACGATTTAGGAACAGTTACTATTTTTGGACTTTTAGGGTTAGGATTAGGGTTGGGATTAGGGAAAGGGTTAGGGTTGGGATTAACATTAGGATTAGAGTAAGGGTCGGGGTTAGATTTGGGATTAGGCCATTAGGGTTAAGTTCAAAACACAAAAGAACATATACAAAATTACAAAAGTCTAAAAATAGTAACTCCGGCTTCCTAAAACGTAACATATATAAATCCTATAGATAAAATCTGCTCTGAAGATCAGTAAACCTGGTATTATTGCACCGCATTTTTAAACTAGTGCTGTTCGTTTTCGACCTCGTTTAAATAGCAATGTTGACAAATTCCTTTATCGTAATGGAACATTGCTATATCAACCAGTTTCAACAGGAAATCTATGAGATGAAATTATCAAGGGATTCAAGGCTACTGCAATAATTTCCAAAATCCGATACTTCAAATTAATGTTAATTCTCTAAAATTAATTTTTTATGCGTTAGTCTATCCATATCTTATCTATGGTAACCTTATTTGGGGGAATACGTATAAGACACGTATTCAAAACTTTTCACCATTCAAAAGAACTCTTTAGTTCTTTATCAGTTGAGCACACTGATCCGATATTTAACTAAAGATACTCAACATCTATAAAATAAATGAGTATTTAACTAGTTTATTTATGTTTAGATACTACAAGGTACAAAATTTACCAGAAATATTTTGTATAATTATTTTGTATCCAGCAACAACGAGATACATCATCACATTGACAATACCAGAAATGTTTGATTTTTGTTTTGTATTTTGCAGAAAAAAACCTACAGTTAAAAAAATGGGCTATCGGATCCCAACTCAAATCCTAATTCAAATCCCACTTCGAATCCTAACTCGGTAAATAGCTATAGCGCCTTCCTCGTTTAGCCTGCTCCTTTGAACGAAATTCCGGGCAGCGAGCAGGCTATACTCGTTTCGTCTCTGGAAAATAGATCAGTCTATCATCAAGCAAAGGTGGCTAAACGGATATAACAACGTCGAGGAGTGGCCACGTGTGTTTCCGTTTGTCAACATTATTGTGCATGCGTCATTATGACAGCAGGCTAGATATATAATCTCATTTATTGTCTCAAAGTGGCAAAAAACTTACACATTTACTATCAAAATAGTTATCCTGATAAACACATATCATTTTGAAAACAAATTGAATCGTTCAGATTAGGTTTAAACTCAGGTAATGGCAAATTTCGCGTCAAATAAATGAACATAATGTGCATGACAGTTGCTGATATTACAGCTGATAATCTTCGTATCTAAACAAATCAACTCATAAGCTTATGGGCATTCACGATAGGCTAGTGTTGTACGCAAATATGGATCCATGTAACGGAGTGCACAGTGATTTGGACTTGCACACTATCCGTGAAAAAAAATTCAAACTGTGACTCTTCGACCTTTTGATCAATAAACCTTAACTCCTTAAGAAACATCGAAGGGTTTCCATTCTATGTAGTTCAGATACAAAATACGACAGCTTATAATATTGAAGAATACTACCTACAGTGAACCCCACGTTTAAGATACCGTATCGCAGGTAATTCATACACAAACCACGGCAGCTTATTGAAGCGTTTGAGATATCCGGCTTTCCAGGTAGTTCCGACACAAACCACGGCAGCTTATTGAAGAATACTACCTACACTGCACACCTACGTTTGAGATATCTTTATCATGTAGTTCATACACAACTACCACGGAAGCTTATTGACTGAGAATACTACCAACACTGAACCCCCACGTAGGAGCCCGGATATCTTTTCCAGGTAGTTCATACACAAACCACTGCAGTTTATTGTAGAATGCGATCTACACTGGACCCCACGTTTGAGGTATCTTTTCAGGTAGTTCATACAAAAACCAGGCAGAGCTTATTTCATGTAGAATATAGCCACCTATACACTGAACCACCACGTAACCACGTTTGAGATATCTTTTCAGGTAGTTTATACACAAACCACGGCAGCCGTTATTGTAGAACACTATCTACACTGTGTCGGGTTGCCGTGAATCAATTTCGGTCAAAACTTTTCTTCCTCATACACGGCAGGTTCAGAAACAGTGACTATTAAAGTATCGCTTTAGGACTGGTTTTGAGGTGAGAAAACAAGCATGATGGCCGGAGAGAACCTGCGTGGATGTTTGTTAAAGTTACTGTGACGTTTCCCACGGAATTATACCAATGATTTCCTGATAACTTTGTAATCACATTTTGGACTTGTCGGGAATGTTTCCCCCGCAGGCTTTAGGAGCAGTGATTCACTTTGTCTGCTTTTCACTTGAGCCCTTTCAATACATGAAGAAGTTCAAAGAAACATTCATTTTCGTTTACAAAGATAGTAGATACATAATACATTGTTAAAAACTGGATGCCTACCGTTAACACTTCAGTGTCAGATGAAGAAAATCTCATCGCGTGACCGGCAGACGGCAAAATAATGGAACTCACCCACTAATCAAATAACTTCAAACTTTGCAAAGATCACCACCTTATCTTTCCAAGAACATTTAACCATAATGTAACTACCCATCACCACCCGGCATATATCTAAGCCAACTTAATATCGTCATTGCACAACTCAAATCCCATCCATTTACAGCTTTGATTACCAAAACCTTGCGGAACAAATTTGTGATATTGATATTCCACAAACGACGTTTGAAATGTGTGTCATATGCTATTGTAGGCTACCAGTCTTTCTGCCAGAAAAATGCGGTGTTTTCAGTAATTTGTGAACAGTATAGAAGTTATTCAGTTTATGGTCATCGGCAGTAATGGACATTTTTAGACCTTTACCGACTAAGGCGCAGGTGCGAAAAATGGCCGATTCCGGTGCAGTGCTCTAACAAACTGAGCTACAGAGGGACAATTGTCGAGCTCTAACTCCAAGTTGATGTATATTGTACCATAACATATGGTAAAATATAGGCCGATTCAGACTACACAACGGTTGCCTAAATCTGTCGCATGCAACCTGCTTACAACTTGAGTTGTACTGTGTAAATTAAGCTTACACAACTCACCTACGACAAAGTACGGGTGAGTTGTGTGCTTGATTTACACAGTACAGATCAAGTTGTAAGCAGGTTGCATGCGACAGTTTTAGGCTTGTGTAGTGTATAAAATCGGCCTTAATTCGGCCTTATCACGATTTTGCATAGGCATCTCACTCGACACTAAATAATGTTTAGTGAAGGGTGAAAAAAGACGCTTCACACTGCAAAAGTCCCGAGTATTCTCACTCGAAAACTCTCGACTCCTTGAGTAAAATAAAGTATACTCACAAGTGACTTAAAAATTGAAGTAAAATTACTCAAATTTATGCCGTAAATTTACTCAATTTTTTAGCAGAGTTTCAAATTTACCCAATATAGCAATGAACAATATATTAAAGCCCTTCGTCTGCAAGTTAGTTGGCTCGAAATTACGGCCGAGTTTATTGTTATAATTCCGCAAGACCGTAATTCCAGATCGACAGTCCGGTCTTGTGAGATAGCCTGGAGCGCTATGCGACTCTGTTGATAGGCAACTTGTAACGCGAGACTTTGTCTAAACATTATTAATGAGGGAACGGCGGGATGTCATTGGCGGATACTGTTTCCTGTGTTGGGGCCTTATATATTCAAACAACATATGTTTTCGAGTTTTGCGCTCCGACACTCAAGCCAAACACTGAGAAGACAGTACGTCTCGTGCGAAAATGGCGTATATCTGGATGGCGATTGCCCTGCTGTTGGCCTGTTCACTGACCACAGAAGCTAGGGCTAGGCGAAAATTTAAGAAGGGGAGAAGATGTGAGAAGATTACGGTGTCGTCGTGTGGGAATTTCGCGTACCAACGCACTAAATTCCCAAATCCTTTCACCAATATAACCACGCAAGACGAAACGAACAATCTAACGGCGTTCATACCGGCACTCACTCGACTGAACTGCACAGCAACCGACCCGATGCCATTCTTGTGTTCGGTTTACGTGCCCGTTTGTACCCCAGATCTTCGGACGGTCATTCCTCCTTGTCGAGAGTTTTGCGAAAAAGCGGTGGGCTCCTGTCCAGCTCTAATGGTTGCCGCGTATGGGATACAATGGCCTTCCCCGCTAGACTGTTCGAATTACCCGAGCAAAATGGGCGGTCAAGTATGCCTTAGCAAATTGAGATACCGCACAAATAAGAACAAAAACGCCAAAGAGAAGGGTAAGAAATTTTGAAATTGCATTCTTGTATTGATATCCTAGACAGATCAGAATTGAAATCCACGTATCTATCTGATAAAGGTCAATAACTTATAAGCGCTGAATAGAATTGCCTGTTCTTTATTAATTAAAACACCTATTTCACTTTCGTCCTGGGATGGTTCATTTCATGATTTATCAAAGAACGACGCGCTGTTCGATGCAGCGCTAAGTTATTGGTCTCGCGTATTACACTACTTGAAGTGTGCCAAGTGCTTTTTCTCAAATGATTAATTAAGTAGACAAGCCCCAATAAGGCTGGAGTCAAACGTTCGCACTTTTCATGCACCGAATCTAATACATTTCGATGCGACACTTGAGAGCGACATTGGAGCGTCGTCAAATCAAACGTCGAGCTCAATATGTCGCTCCAAATGTAAATCCCTCATCTGAACATTCACGAAGAGCGATGTTTGAATTGATGTCGTTCCAGAGTCGTTTAATGCCACAAGACCTGTCGTGTCAACGTCGCCCCAAATGCCTCTGTCAATCAATTTCTGTGACCACAGCAGGAATTTTGCATAGGTATAAATTCGAAGTATTGGATGACTTGTAAGAAATGTTTAAGGGAACTGCATGGGCTTAATGTTATATGCTGAGTCAGTTCCCTCAAAAACATTTCTTAGAAATCCTTCAAAAGTTAGAATTTACCTGTGCAAAATTCCCACTGTTGAAAAATGATCACAGAAACTTTGATAGTGTAAACCGGGCTGTATGCGGAGCAACTATAGTTCACGAAATGTACTATCAAACAAAAACGATTTTAGCACAATTTATGTTGACTTATATAATATAGTTTCAATTTGGCTATTCGTTCGACAATGCATCCCAATATTTAGACGCCATTCGTCTGACAAAAGTATTTCCTCGTTCTTCAATTAAACAAGCTCAAATGATTCCAAAATGATTCCAAAATAATTTGCGTCGATTTCAAGCAATTTCTCGGTAGTCGAGTGGTGAAGGTACTCGCCTTGTACGCGCTATTGCGGGGTTCAAATCCAGGAAAATGAGATTCGGTGTTGGATGAATATCCACAGGGCTCAAATTTTTTCGCCTGCGCTACAGTAGGCTCGTGTCACATTTCAGAATAAATTACGGCTTCTTCCTATAGCTTCTAAATGACTTCACTGATCTACTAAAGGCACGCAGAGAGACACGGGTGACTCGTTTAGACTGCGGTCTGATAATTTGTCTATGTATAAATGCGGCAAGCAGGTGAAGCAGCCTTATCACACGTATTTTATATATTTATGATTTACATTTGGAGCGACATATTGAGTTCGACCTACATATGTTTGCTTGTAACTCTGAATTCGTTTTAACGGAAAATAATTGCCACGGTGGAACAAGGAAGTGTTCATTTGGTGCACTGTAGTGCCAATTCCAAATGCGAGGGGAAGCAAGTAATGTTTTTTGGTCTTTGCATGGGGTATTATTAAATGCAAATTTCATGGCCCTGTGGGCACGCATATATCCAATGTTGGCTGGTGTTCAAAGTATACAATTTGTTTATTGCGAAATGAGAATAACTCCCCATAAAAGGCTAAGAGGATACTTGGGAGCCAACCAAACTTTTCAAAACAAACACGCTATTAAGCCAATGGATATGATTTTGTAAAGAGTGACTATTGATTAAAGTAGCGAGTTTCTTGAAGAATATTTATTTTGAAGACTTTAACTCGAGGCCACTCATAAGTCATGTACTCGATCGGAAACTCAATTCTCAGGCCAACAGTATACCGCTAAAATAAATGTTTTTTCTTATCAAATGTAAAATTAGAATACACATAAAACTTTTTCTTGTAAACAGGCAAATTGTTTGTTTGTTTGTTTGGTTCTCATAGGCTAATAAATCGATAACATTTTATTGAATTTGCACTAAAATTGGATGAAAATTTTATCAAAATTTTGTCTTGCATGCCAACTAAAATAATTCAATCCATACAATTGTCTGTGAACAGTCATCACTCTATTAGCAAGATATCCCATAACCCAAGGCAAGATATATTGAACAGAATTTTGTCAGAGTTTAAAGGTTCATTTCTACTCGAGAAAAATTTCCACGGGCAGAAAATTTTCCGCAAATATCATTGTTAATTAAAAGTTGAAAATTGTCAACTTCAAAATTTTTTCCGACGGAAAATTTGTGTCGACCAATGACATTTTACAAAATTTTCTTGCTGCGGAAAATTTTCCTGAATGTGCCTTAAGAATTGCTCGTAGACCAGACTGCATAATGCCAAATGAGTTAAACTTTGCAGTTTTGCCACCACTGTTATATTATTTATTGACAATCTCCGAGTCCACATGTGCAATGTGAACACCTTAGCAGGCGCCGAAGATTTACGTAAAACATCAATATATTCGACAGTGTGCTTAAACAAATACTGTAGGCAGAAGAATGAGAATTATGAGATATTGGATTTCGCTTAACAAAGCTAAGAATTCCATTCAGATTCTTACGGACTTACGAAATCAGTCAGTTCAAATCCCTTCACGAATTTGAGATTTTATTAATTTTTTCGAACTTCATTCAAATCCTCTTTTTTTATTTTAGTCAAGTATTTTACACGCAAGACAGAAAATGTCTTCCATTTCGCCATTTATTACCCCCACACGGGCTAATAAGCCCATCGCAACTGTGAGCTAACATAATTTTGAAAATATTGTAAACTAAAGGTCTAAAACAAAAAATATATCATACCTGCATGTGTTGGGCTTGTCTTTTGCACGATGTGACTAGAATGGAAAGATCAAATCGCTAAAAAAAGAGACAGAAAATAAAAATCAAGCTCTGAACATGGGTTTGAAACACTAGAGACGAACCGGTGTATCGACAAAACTGAGTTCTACTTTGCAGCTCAATTATTTGACGAATAATTTTGAATAATTTATTTTATATACACGCAAATGTTTCTGACAAATGTTTGCTGGTTTGACCACCTTCAGGAAACATGGCTAGGAAACGATGTTTTCTGGTATGCCCACCTTTGAGAAACATGGCCAAGAAAGAATGTTTCCTGGTTTGCCCACCTTTGGAAAACTTGGCTAGGGAACAATGTTTCCTTGCTTGACCACCTTCAAGAGACATGGCTAGGAAACAATGGAACCTGGTTTCTCCACCTTTGAGAAGCATGGATAAGGAAACAATGTTTCCTAGTTTGCCCACCTTTAAGAAACAACCTTTGGAAAACATGGCCATGGGGGGTTCCTTAGCCTGCGTGCAGCCTGACTTTAAATGAGGAGAAGTTAGACGGCGCCATATAAACAGCGGAACTGGTCTTTTCAAGATCGGGACTACAATTCATCCGGTTTCGTGTGAACATGTAGACCGTACGAATTTGAGTACGGTTCCGAATTTATTCCCCCGTATGAACGCAGACTAAGCCATTCCTATTTGCCACAGGCAAGAAGAAGAAGCCGAAAGCAGACGAGACGAAATGTTGTAAATTGGGTGAAATTACCGTGGGTAAAAATGCGACATGCAACCTCTCCGATACTATCGCAACCACGACACAACCAAAACGATACCTGAAAGTCTTGAAATTGTGCAAAGACTTCGAAAGCAAATTCAATGAATGCTGCAGGAAAAAAGCTGTGAAGATTCAGGAACGCGAAGCCAAAAAAAAGCAGAAGAGAAAAAACAAAAAGGCGAAGAAACAACAACGGAAACTGGCTAAGAAAGGGAAGAAAGCGGGAAAACTACAGCAGAAGAAAGCAGGGAAGCAACAGAAACGGAAGCAAAAGAAAAATGAACGAAAACAGAAAAAGGCAAATCGTAAACAAAAGAAACAGAACAGGAAACAAAACAGGAAAGGCAAGAAAAATGGGAGAGGTGAATAGAAAGATGTGGAAACACGACTTTTGACCGACAGATAATATATGGAAGAGGTTATTTCGCTGGCCTCAGAGTGACAAAACGTAACAAAGCAACGGTTTTAGTTTTACTAACACTAACCCTATTTCAAAAACCAACTCTAACTCTAACCTAACCCTACTCCAAGTTTGTTTCTAAACCAATCTTGAAGGAAAAAGTTTTAACGAAATGTCATTCGGAGGTCAGCGAACTAACTTCTTCCATAATATATGCCTGCATCACTGATCTAAAAAAATAGAACTGGATAGTGCATCCGAGCCGATGGCGGCCATCTTGAAATGGCGGCCCACGAAGTAGACAAATTTGGCTAACGTTTTTGCTTATACACAGTTCACAACTTGAGATAACTCACATGCCTAGATAACTATTGTTCCAGTTACAGAAGCATGGAATACAACAAAGGTAACCAAGCATCAGAGTTATCTACATGAGTGAATAACTCCTATACACAACTCTAATGCTTAGGGCCTGTTCATATGGGCAAAAGTTATACCCCGGTTAGCGGGAAACCTGTTCGACAAGTTTACAAGCGAGATCTCGCCTTGGTATGAAAATGATATGAAAAGTTACACTGCTTTCATACGAGACAACAAGTTTTCCCGAGTACCGAGATCTCGCTTGTTGACACTGGCTAGATCTCGGGGACCGGGATAATGTTTTTCCCATATGAACACAACATTCCCGCTTAGCGGGATAACTTTCTGTCGTGTCAGCAACTTTTCAATTCAATCCATGTTCAGTGCTACGTCACAGTCGGAAACTTTACCCGGTAAGCGGGAAAACGTTTCTCCATGTGAACAGAACAAAAGTATTTGGCTAGTCGAAAAGTTTTCTCGTTAACCGGGATAACTTTTACCCATATGAACACGCCCTTGGTTACCTTTGTTTTATTCTATACTTCTGTAAACTACAACAATAGTAACTAGACATGTGAGTTTTGTCTATTATTGTGGTATTGCTGATATGTTAACGCCCATTTCCACTCGAGAAAAATTTCCGCGGACAGAAAACTTTCCAAAAATATCATTGTTAAAAGTTGAAAATTTTCAACTTCAAAATTTTTTCCCGATAGAAAATTTGTGTCGGCCAAATCACATTTTACAAATTTTTCTTTCCGTGGAAAATTTTCTTGACTGGAAATGGACGTTAACAAGTTAACAGTTTCGGGTCTTCGTTTGAAAAGGTCATCATTGGCTCTCTTTCTTGAAATTGCGTTTTCTCTTTGCTAAAAACTCTTTTTCTTGTAAATTTCCTTAAAAGTTCAGGAACTCAATTTTAGGACTGCTATTAGGATGACCCCTGGTATCGTTAAAGTTTGTGTGAGTTTTAAAAACAAAAGCATTTTGTGCGTCGGTTTGTCCCTTAGCAAAGGCATACTTCTAGTGTCTAGTAATATTTAACTGACTTTAGTGTACTATGGGATGCGCCATCCAGTAGTCTTTTGCGAGCAGTGTATGTAAGTCTGTCGGTCAAATGTCGATTCGGATGACGGGAAAAAGGAACATGGACGTTTCTTCATTTTTTACTATAAAACTTTACAAATTATATTTTTAAGTATATTTGAACGTTTTGGTTTTAGTCGTATTACATTTGTTATTGACATTATAATGGGGAAGTAACTTGGTTGCATGTCAGTGTCGTTCAAATATGTGGGGACTAAGGTACATAAGTGTACTGTATGTTTTTTTGCAAGAAATATAGTTGTATTGATAGTGTGTGTAGCAAAATTAACATTACATGTTTATGAAATTATTGTCAGGAACTCAGTGTTTGGTATCGGAACTACGCGCATAAAAAAATCTCACAGCTTGTCAAGAAGATGTGTTCTCAGCAGTGTTGTAAAAAATCGCGCAAGTTGTTATAGATCTGCAAACAAATTGTAACAAGGTTGTTGTCAAGCTGATATCAGGATGTGCTCGCACTGCTTGTTCCCAGTTGTTGTGACAAGTCTGGAACAAAGTTGCTATCACCTCATAAGTTGTTCCAACAAGACTAAAGCCCGTTCTCCACTAGGCGAATTTTTTCGCGCGACGCGAAGCGAAAAACAAATCTTGGCAATGTGATTGGTCAGCGAAAAAATTCGCCGCGAAAAAGTTGGATCAGTTCCTACTTTTTTACTGTTCGCGCGAACAAATTCGCCTAGTGGAGAACGGGCTTCATAAAGGCTGTTCGTAACAAGTTGCCACGAGCTTGTTGCCATCAACTTGTTAACAACTTGTTAACAACTTGTTACGCGAAGACGATATCAAACTTGTTGGGAAAACTTGTTTCGAGTCTGTAGGCCCCATCAACCTCGTTACAAGATGATAACAACTTGTTCCAGATCAGATTTGATTGACAGGCGTATCGATTTGGACCAATGGGAAATTTGCGTTGTGTGGGCAACGCGTATTTCGTTTCTTGATAGATAGATAGATAGATAGATAGATAGATAGATAGATAGATAGATAGATAGATAGATAGATAGATAGATTTATTTATTTAACCACGCTAACCTCGTCAACTACAGCTGATTTCCACGAGGGGCGCGTGATGTGTTGTCGGCAGTCCCTCCTTTTCTTTCGCATGCCCGGAAATCTAAACCCGCGGAAAGGAGGGACCGCTCGCAGTCTACTGGGAACAAGCAATGCAAACACATCTTGTTGACAAGCAGCTGTGAGATTTTTACTCGTATACAGGCCGAGTGACGAGTTGAGACACTCAAAGGTCGAGTCACGGGTCGAGTGGAGCTATTTCACTTTTTTATTGAGTCAAGTCGAGTCAATGGTTCCACTCAAGTGGAGTCAATAGCTGCATGAACTTGAGTTGAGTCAGGGAATTTGATAAGTCCACCCCACAATTTCTGCAATAGTTCAGTACCGTGGCTGTTGAGTCAGGGAATTTGATCAAGTCCACCCCACAAATTTCTGCAATAGTTCGGTACCCTGGCGTCGTGACATTAGTTAAAGTCAGGCGAAAACGAGGCTCTCTAGTCAAGATGGCGTACGGAAATGTGTACATATAAATATAGATATAGGAAACATGGCTTAATTAGTTGAGATAGGTCCGTGTAAAAAGTACGAGCTTTTTTCCCTCTACAGTTGTTTCGTTTGCTGGCAATACACGGCCAGGGCAGGAAAAAGAATTTTCTTCCTGGGAGCACAACCTGGAGACAAAAATTTCCTGCAGACCAACGGAGTATTTTTGTGCTAAATCTGCATGTGCATAAACACATAGTGTTCTAGCTGACCATGGTTTTAAATTCAAGGAATAATGTCTGTCAACCATATGTTGTTGCGCCCACAGTGCGACATGGGTGTTAAGCTGGAGTAATACGAGCAACAAAATTGCTGCAACTTGCAACAAAATCTGATTTCTACGCATGTTAATTGAAAATGTTTACACATAAATTACAAATCACGAGGCAACGTGTGTCCACATTTTTACTTAACATGCGTTGAAATCAGATTTTGTTGCAAGTTGCAGCAATTTTGTTGCCCGTATTACTCCACCTTTAAGGTTTCCTTCAAATTTTCAATAGCAAATCTTCATTCAAACGAATTTCTTGCAGCTGTTTAACATTTCCTGCGAGCAGTGCTCGCGTGCTCGCCTATTTTTTCCACCCCTGATTATACACCCTTTCGTAAACTACTTCACTTTGGCTATACAGCCTCGTTTTCGTATATCTGGCATTAGTTATAAAGTTCAACGTTCAATCACGAGAACAAGGCTCCAGAAGGGTGTATTATAACCTGCATCAAGTCATCCAAACCATCAAAATTGATGACGAAGCGAATTGTTACAGCATTTTTCCTGTGCAAATTCTTCAATTCGGCACTAGAAAGTGCAGGCATTTGCGAAGCTTAAATTTTTTACTAATTTTCTCGCGGGAGCATGCATACCCCGGATCCCCTGGAACTTCACCCCCCACTACACTGTTGATGTCTACAGATGCCAATCATAATAGTACTTAGGCTTACCTATATCTAAATTTCATTGATTCGTATCATCAAAAAAGGAATTCGCCTCGCGGTTCGATCCTTGCGGATCACGCCCATATCGATTCATCAGATTAAGCATCTACGGGAGAATTTCAAGGAATGGAATTATTTAATCAAACTACTTTACTCAGAGATATTGCTTATCGCAAGGTAGGGCAACCAAACAATACGAATAAGTCCTGATTCAGTTTGACTCAATACCGATGGATACACCACTTTCCTCCAACGTAATTAGTGCATGAACCAATGGGAGAGGGCTCTTGCGATACCTCCCTCTAAGAAGAACAGGAGACTGCTCCATTTGCTCTGTTCTAGAACATATGGAACACTGTTCTGGAATGATATCAAATGGAGAGTGCACACGGTGTTCTGGAACAGTGTTTAGTTTCATGTTTCGCTCGCTACTCTGGTTTAAATAAATGATTACAAAGCCCAGTCGAATTGTAATCAAGACCCAACGTTTCGACACTCCAGTCTAGTGTCTTCATCAGGGGTGATCTAAAACTGCGATCGTGGCTTCTTAAATACCCAAGGGATGATGTCACCTGCCAATGAGATGCATATATTCTTCTGGCAAATAGGTGCCGTCATCCCTATTCAAAGCATGATGACTCGTGATGAAAACTCTAAAGTAATTACCACAAACAATCGCTATGGTCAAAGACTTTGCCTAGAAGCGTGGCATATAAATATGAGTCATCATGCTTTGAATAGGGATGACGGCGCCTATTTGCCAGAGGAATATATGCATCTTCTTGGCAGGTGACGTCATCCCTTGGGTATTTTAGAAGCCACGATCGCAGTTTTAGACACAGAATAAGGCACACAGAAGGGCCTTCCGACGTAAGTGCCCTGGCCGCCATCTTCCTAGCCAGTCGATTACATTTTCTGGGCAATAAACGCGCTGTATTGGCTGAAGGCCCCGCCTTCTGGCCAGTCAACTGCATGTTTTTGCATAGAAAAATGGTGACACGTTGCACCGCTGAGTGGCCCTTCTGGTACTGATCTTTATTCTGTGGTTTTAGATCACCCCTGATGAAGACACTAGACTGGAGTGTCGAAACGTTGGGTCTTGATTACAATTCGACCGGGCTTTGTAATCATTTATTTAAACCAGAGTAGCGAGCGAAACATGATTGATATACCTGGTTGCAGTGAACGAACAAAGTGTTTAGTTTATTACATATCCGTGCAAGCATGCAATTCAATAGTTATTTGCATAATAAATCGTATAATGATTGGCTGTTATTTGTATATTTTAGTATACTTTTGCAACTTTTTTACTCGTTGATTTTGCCCAACCCTGGCGTTCAAATAGCATATAATAAGTATATGTCGATATAAAGCAGTTAACACTTAACAAATATAAAACATTTTCCGTGTTGATATACAGTTATATCAACAGATTCAACACGAGTGGAAATTGGAAAAACGAGAAATTGTGTGGAAACACGACGCCCGAAGGGCGGAGTGTTTTCACACAATTTCGAGTTTTCCCAATTTCCACGAGTGTTGATATAACTGTATATCAATACGAAATGTTTTATATTTGTTTTATAATATAGCACAAAGAAATATAAAGAAAGAAATTTTCCGACGTTTCCGTGTTGACATTGAGTTATATCAACACGGCTCTTAGCCAATCAGCGTTCAGAATTTACAAATGCTATATTATAATTCAAAATAACACTCTATATGCACGATGCAACACAAAATCGCTCGCCTCCTTTTCCAATCACGTGAAAATGTGCAGTGTCACGTGTTCTGTTCTGGCTGCCCTACTTTGAAGTTGGGGGCAGCCAGAACAGTTCCGAACAGTCATGTGATCGTGTTCTGTTCTGTTCCATTTCATTGGTGTTCCCAAATCCCAAAATCCGGAGTACTCCGAACAGTAAATGGAGCAGGCTCCTGAGGGTTCCTCCCATAGACACATAATTAGGTCACAGACAAAATTACTTTTGACTTGACTTGGACAAAAAAGACTTCTTAACAAATCCGCATGGTTTCATTTAGCTTAGCCCGGCCTTTCTTTCTTTTAATCTTAACCGTTTATACCGTGTATTTTTTCTGTGTTGGTGTAGTGTACTCAGGTGACTGATATGATGTTTGTGATGTTACTCTGAGTGTATATCCACACCGGGCAAGCTTGAAAAATATACTATTTTTCATAAACATGCATATTCATAATTTTTTCAAAAAAAATATTTTTCAAGCTTGCCCGGTGTGGATATACATTCAAAGTAACATTACAAACATCATATTCACCTGAGTACACAACACCAAGTCAACACAGAAACAAATCGTATTACTAGATTGCATCGATATCGAAGGAACTAGACTCAGCTAGTTCCGAAATATCACGTACTCGAACCGACCTGACCGCGTAGCTCAGTTGGCAGAGCATTGAACTGGTATTCCAAAGGTCGTAGGTTCGATTCCCACCGTGGACAGGCATATTTTTCAAGCTTGCCTGGTGTGGATATACACTCAGAGTAACATCACAATCTATGTTCCCGTCGGTTAATCGGGTTAATTCATTTAGTAAGCTCCTATCACGCCTTTGATCAACATCCAAAACGACATTTCGAAGTTGAATTGACTTACTTTGATTCCATTCAATTCCAGGAATTTTGCATCGGGAAATTCTAAGTTTTGAAGAATTTGTAAGAAGTAGTGAGAGAACTGACTCAGTATTAAATATAAACACTAAGTCAGATCCCTCAAACATTTCTCACAAACCTTTCAAAACTTAAACTTTATCTATGCAAAATTCTTACTGTGACTGACAGTAACTTTGACAGTCGGTAAACCAGGAAAATGGAAAAATTGTTCGAGACACACGATTCATTCCGG